GAGACTTCAATTGATGATGTCATTGTTGCTGCCAAACATGTGCCTTAAGTTTAATTATCATGCYTCCATCACTTGTACCATGTTGTGTTTGCACAACATCCTAAAAACTTAGCAAATTAAGTTTTTCAACACATACATGATACACGTGTATATGTATATAAAAGAGATTGGTTCCCCCTGATTTCCATAAACACAATACTCACACGTCGTCCGCACATCACAGGTCCCTCACGCGTATTATCACATGTGATAAGGGTGTTCTCGCGTTCTCGTAAAATAGAGGTGTTCTCGTTTGAACCTCCACCTATATATATCCACCTGTAATCCGTCGTGCAACTCTAAGTGGTCGCTTGTCGTGGAAATTCTTTCATTGAAAAGACTACATCATCCTCTAGTCACATGTGAGCCAATGTTTTGGCCCTTACATCTTCGAAGGTTTATGCCGGATACTTGGTCAAATCCAAGTAGAGTTCTAAGTTGTCATCCAATCCTCGCTTGTATGCTTCTATCGTTGTCCAGACGTCACAGTTCTTGATGTTGACCATTTTTGAGTTGAGACGATTGAAATAATCTTCTGACAGATTCACCAGGATTTTGTGTTATGTAGTACAAATCACTAGTTTGTTTTTCCATTTTATGGCTGCTAGCGAATTGTTGGAAAAACTGATTAACCAAATCCGCGAAGGAATTGATGGTTTTTGGCTTCAGGTTGATTAGCCAAGAGTTGCACCAATGAAGGTTGCACCAAAGCTATTACACATACATACTTCATGGTAGTGTTGACGAATAGAGGAGGTCCACATCAATTGCTTGTATTGAGCGACATGCTCATTGGGTTCTGTAATGCCAGAATACTTGGGATTGAAGATAGGGATATTGTACGTCTTTCCGATGTCAACCAAAGCAATATGGTCGGGGTTCAACGTCGACAAGCACTGTTGCTCTAGGTAGTTTTGTTGATCCTCTCTCTCAGTGATTTAATGATGATCATTTTTATCTAACGAAAAGTACTCTCTCTATCTCTCTTTATTTGTTTTCAACAATAATCACTGAGTCTGTTCAGTGATCGCTGAACAAGTATTGTAACTCTGAAGCGACAAGTATTCTTCAAGAAAACAAAACTCACACCACAAGAACCTTCAATGATATCGAAGATAGAGCTGAAGACAAAGACAAGCAGTTCGTGATCTGATGCAGTTTTAGTGATAACAAGTCTGTCTACAAATGTGTGAAGTCTACTCAAGATTCAGCATACACTGAAGAAAACTTCGAGTTATTCTGGTGTCAGCGATCAAATGAATCTTGTTGATCAAGATTAGTTTTTGTCTTATCCTCCTACACATAAAGGACAACCCATACCTCTCAAAGTAAAGCACTCGTACGGAGTCACCCTATAGTCTCCGAACGTGCTTACCTACTTTGTGAAAGACCACTGTTTATATACAGCCAAAAGCCTGTATATCTGAAGACAAGACAAGCTCACCTCTAGAAGCTTGTCACGTGCCTTGTACTATCTGACTTGCATTTAATGCAATTGGTATAAATAGCTGAGAAGTCCCTCCTTTTCAAACAGTCTTCAAGATCTCAATATACTCAAGAAGAGACACCCTCACAAGTACAGACTTCTTAACCTTGTGAAGTTACATTTACTTCAAGTGAAGAACACCAACTAAGCTCTTCCATTAGCGAAGTTATTGCTTCTTCTTTTAGTAAGTCTTTTCTTTCGTGCTTTATGTATCTTGTGTGTTCCTTATATTGTTTTAGATAAGTTATATATCTTCTCTTATTCTGCAATCAGTATGTAAATTCTGTATTGATTTTTTTTATCAATAAAGGATTTTAAAAAGTGAAAAATATTGTGTTTGTATTCATCCCCTCCCCCTACAAATTGTTACCTTTAAACTCTTGTAGATCCGTCTAGGACCAACAAGTTTGGATAATAGGGATAATACGTTTTTTCAATTTGCTCCTCGAGCAACTTGAGTCGTCAAGAGACGAGGTCCTTGAGGGTTTGAGTGGATTTGGCATAGGGGTTGACATTATGGGTGGAGTTACTCCTGAAATCTGGACTTTAAGGCCTCCAGTGTCATGTACGGCTTGACGGTGAGATGACTAAATGTCATCATTGGCGTGTGCAGTTAATAAATTAAAGTGGAAAAAGGAGGTATCGGCGTTGATGGCAATGTCATAGGTGTTAAGAACCGTGGAAAAGGCCATAAACGGAGGTAAAGGTGGAGGGGTAATTCGGTAGTTGAGGTTGTCATCCCGGATACTAGTTCTTGAAAAGGAAATCCAATATATGACGGCATGCCAGTAGAAATTGAGGTAGGAGTTCCAAATTAGCAACAAATGAAGAAACTCCATATAAAACTAGGGAAGAGATAGCATGAACATTTAATCTAATAATCTCAACTCGTCGGCACGATTACAATCAGGGGAAATAGAGAGAATTACACACAATGAATCAATCGACTCTCATAAGCTTACTTTGTGTGTGTGTGTAATTCCTATCTCATACATGATAAAATGGCCCAAGACACCTATTTACAGTATCAAATTAGGGCCCAATTACAAATATTAAGTTCAAGCTCATGTAAACAACTAAAGCTCAAAATACAAGATACTTTATACAATTTTCATGTAAATTGGGAGCTAATTAGATCTAACAGGAGGTCTAGTCTCAAACGAACTAGTTACGCATGTGATCGCATTTGTGGATTGTCCTAACCCTTTCATTTTGATCAGTCAACCAAGTGATTTCTTGTTTCGCCAAAATGTTTATACCAAAAATCACTAAATATAATTTAAGGTTTGTTTGTAGAGATTTTACAATTAATGATCAATCACTTTGAAATAAACACTGGAAAACAGATAAATAATAACAAAAGAGACGAGAACTGATGATGCGGAAAAAACCTTAAATGAGGGAAAAATCGTCAATGCACTATGGAGGTCAATCAGGGACGTTGTCCTTGGAAACAGTTACAATGAAATTGACATGTCGGTCGTAGAAAATAAGAACATGTTTTTTTAGTATTTCTCTATGTGTATAGATTCCGAGGATTTTGGCCCTGTTTATTGAGAGCTTCTGACCTTTTATAGGTGATTCACTGGAGTGATCTAACAGTCGACTTCTAATGTGATTAAATGGGGATAACGGTTGGTCTTGCATGTCTTGAATCTTTGCCTTTTGTTATGATCTCCATTGTTAATGCCTAGTTCCGACCATCAATCCTGCAATAAAGCCCATATATAACTGATGTCGTAATTAATATGCAGCAACATGTGTCGCTAGTGTGATAAATAGAGGGTAATTGAGATTGTGGAAGAATAATCCTCAACCAATGGTACGATCATAGATAACTGCGATCATAGGTAACAAGGTCGTTGGTTCTCATGAATTTAAGTTACGCACGTCATGGTCGTGGATAATATCCTCGACAGTTGAGGGTGTGAATTTTTACCAAAACAATAATACCAAGGAGGGAAGATGACATATATAGCAAATTACATATTTGGCCCCTGTGATAAAATAAAGAATATGACTAAAATGATTTAAATGCCCTCTTAATTAACCAACTTAATAAAAAAATAACGAAGTTTGAAACAGGGACCCATTGAATTATAAATTACTAACCATAGTTATGTAATCTATAATTATTTCAAAAGAGTGACTTGATATGTTATGACATATAAACCACGTGGACGAAATAAAAATTATTTTTATTATTATTTGGTTGATTTACGATAATAATATAATAAAAGAAGTTAGAAAGGAAAAAAACGAAAAAGAAATTTATAGTTTTACTTAAATAGTGATTTGTTCCTACAAAAGGTTTCTAGTTGACTATATTAACTTAAGAAACCTTCAATATTATGAAATTAAAAACCAGTTTTAAAAATAAAATCCATAATTTAAACAACCAACATGGGCCACCCATGTAATTTACTCTTAAATAATCTTTCGCTTTCACACCCCAAAAAAAAGAGAGAGGTTCTTGGACATGGAAATATCAAAAGTAGAATTCAAGTCGTCTAAACCAAGGTTCTGATTTATAATTATATGTCATGTTTTGTTTTAGATACATAACAGCTTCTTCAATAAAACAAAACTTGTCATATAATTATAAATCACAAGCTTTGTTTATAAAAATAACTTATTGACTTATTTTGGTATCGTACCGACGTACCGTAATAAACACTTTTTGAGTGTTCGAATAAACAAATTATATTAATGTCAAATCGGTAACAATCAGTTTTTGAAAAAGTTAAACCCTTATGACTTCTAATAAGTAGACAAGTGCTTTTGTAGAAAAACATAAATTATTTCTCAAACACCCCCATAAAAATAAATCATACTCAACTTTTGACGCATTTTATTTTAGAATGGCTTTCCCCAACACAAAAATGCATCAAAATAACTTGAGGTTTGATGTGACAATTAAGTAATGTTGTTTGGAGACGATTCATGTGAAGATATATAGATATAAACTCCATAGATGGCCCAAGTCAAATGCAACATTAATGTTATGTAGCATTTTTCTTTCCATTAAACCCAGTTTACAACCAAAAAATAACAGTACCCTCTATTTCAAGGTGAGAAAACCATGGCAATAAAATAAATCTAGCATCTACCCTCCCTATACCAGACAAGTAGTCTCCAACAAAAACAAACATACATTCCAATCTTCTTCACTCGTTGCGAATGGAGCAATATTTCTCCCACAGCGACTGTGATTTCGCTATTTCAGCCATCAGATTCTTGAACTTATGGCTGCAATCTCCTCCACTGCAAACTCACCAATCGGTTAATAGTCGGGATGTTAGAAAGCTTGAATTAATTGTTATAAAAAACAAACCAGATAGACCAAGTAAATCCCACTTGATTGACCTCTATTTTAAAAGTTTTCAAATAAAAATAGGTGAATTCCATCATACCCACTCCTATAGTCTTCATTTTGAAATTCCATTGCAGAAAGAATCAGGTCTCAGGTTTGAGTCCTACTAAGGTGCTACAAATTCCTCTGGACCACTGTTGCTGATCGAACAAGCTACTTTTTGCACCCAGCCATGTAGAATGAACATTTTGCATGGACAGGCACTAATCACCTGCCCCAAAATCCATGTCCAACCAATCAACTCCTCACACATCATTACTTTATTTAATTCATCTTTTTTTATAATCTATCTTTAATAAAGTGATGATGTGCCAGAGGTTGATTGGTGGACAAGTAGGGGACATGGAGTTGAGGTACCGGTGGTTTGTATATTTGTATTCCCCAGTTGACCAGTTAGGTTAAAATGTCAAATACCAAGGCTTTTGAATATATATATAGAAGAGAGAGAGGGGGGGAGAGTTAAAGGTCACACCTGATGCGATTTAAAGATGCAACAGCTCTAAGTGCACTCCGAATCATGTCTTCATTGCGATCAACTTCTTGCTTTACAGCATCTTGTTTCGGCTTGAAGTTAACAGTTTTCTGGAGAGGGTCCACCAATGAATCTAAAACTGTAATGGTTAAAACATCCATGTTAGCTACCATCCAAAGTGTCTACATGTCCAAACAATAATAATTTAAAAAGAAAAAGAAAAAAAGATGCACTAACCTGCTAAGACAGCCGAAGGACACTTATCGGCAAGTTTTGAAAGGATAAGATGGCAAGGCATCTTAACATCATAATGATCTGACGAATTAAATAATGCAGTTTTAGAAATAATGGGCTATATAAATGTCCATAATGAAAACTGGAATTTTAAAAAAGTGTAATTATTACACTTCTATTAATTAAATGACAGCTTTACCCTTACAAATGAAGTAATGAATTTATCCATCTCATTATTAAGGTTAGAGTTGGGAAGTAGAAACTTATTTTTTAAAAGTGGACATGACGAACTAAAATAGAAATGTGAACACTTATTAGGCATAGAGAGATTAAAAATAATTCTCGAGTAAGATTGTGAAAAGATATTGGCTCAGATGAACAAAAATCCAATAATTGAACTACTAGGAATCATCATGAACTTACCATCAAGACCAGATTTTAGGTAAGGCACAATGAAAGATGAAGGGTTCAACTGATCAAGGCAATTATCAAGCAATGTATCTACACATTCAAAAGCTGCTTTCCTCAACTCAAGACCATCGTCAACTGTATGCTTAAAAGGACCAAGATCGACCGTTCTAATCAGTTCTTTCTGCACAAAAATATTGAAGTTAATACATGTATTCACCATTAAAGTATTCAATGAAGAAATGAACAAGAAACAGCTTCACATATAACTTCACATCTCCTCCGAAGATTTCCATTTTGTGAATACTGGGCATGGTGCAAAGGGGAAAAATAAATGTCTCAAAAAGTTTCTAGAGAACACACTTGTAGCAGATAGTTCAGGTATTTCAAGTCCTTACCAAATTCAATTGTACATTTTCTTCCTGGAAGTCTAGGAATCAAACCAAGTAAAATCTTTCTTATTTGCTTCCAAGTCCGATAATAACATTAACAAAACCCGAAATTTGCCTACATATCCTCCAGGAAACAGATGTTCCTCAGATGTAGTGGAGCTATGCTTAATTTTCTTGTCCGTTGTCTATGGACCCAACTAAAGCAAAACAAGCATTCCTTATAGATGGAGTTTCAGGCAAGTTATCAATCAGTGTCAAAAAGATTCAGTACATCTTATAATAATCTTTCAAGATAATTCCAGGAAAGCTCGTTTCATTAGTCCTTATCTAGTCTTTTCCTTTAAAATAAAGAGGATCATAAGATATGTTCCCATATTCCTCCGTTGGAATCAAATTGTGGGACTCTACATCCTAACTTATGGCTAAAACAATTGGAATTGAAGTTGCTTCCTACTGCTTCAAGTTTAACTCTTCTTTGTCCAAAACAAAGAGTATATCAGGTGCCAAGGAGATTCATCTGATTCTAAACCTCTTATGAGAGCTGCATTAATGTGTTATATATGGACTAGCAACCATCGGTTTCTATTTTGACCTCAAAAAACCTTACTGGTGTGAAAACTATAGTCCACGAAGACCTTCACATAGTAACTACTTCAGACATGCATACCCTTATGGCTCAAAGAATCAAATCTAGTAATTACCAACGAATATATTCGCTTTCCAACTTACTAAGTTTATGTTGGAAGGTATATATGTATAGATAGAACCCCATTTTATATGTTGTTCTTGTATCTTTAGTACCTCCAGTGGCTCCTATCCCTGTCATGTTCCGTGGATCATTTATAAGTGTTATTCAAGCTCTTACTTTAGCAACTTTAGCAACTTTAGCCGCAGCTTATACCATTGACTAGTTTTCTAAGTACTCTTTTTTTAGATTAATCTAGGTCAATGTGTGCATGGCTAAAAGAAATTGACTTAGGGAATGAAAATATACAACTGCACTATTACATGATCTAGAGTATTAGAAAACATGATAATAGAATAGATAACTGAAAAGAAAAAAGGAAAGAGATCTCAAAGATCTTTTTCCTAAAATTACCGTTCAGTCCATTTATATAATAGTCATGCCTTCCCTTTAATGAATATTCAGTTTATATTGGTCATTGAATTCCTCGGCTCAAGAAAAAATGATTTGAAGTTTTGTCTATGCATAAAATTATAATAAATAGCAAAAGAATACGTAAAATTAGTTAGCCTACAATTTAACCCATATTTATTTAGTGACCTTCCTGAAAATAATAAATCCTTTGTACTCGTAAATCAAGTTGGATAATTCTCAAATATCTAAAAAAAATCTTTAAGATATTTTTTACATGAGAAATACAATGGGGTTAAGACTAAAGAATCCTCATCTTTCTTTAGGTGATCACATGAAGTCTTCAATCAACAAAAATATGCCCATCAATACATACTCTCTCCATGCCATGAAATTTGCAACACTTTCTTCTTGGGAAGTCCTATGGCAATTGCAACATTTCCTCTTGCCATTAGTTTTGAATCATTACTTGGTTGTCCATTGTCGTCATTACAAAAAACTGATGATGTTGATTTGGTTCCACAAGACTCCCCCATTTTTGTCATTATTGAAAGGTATTCAAGATATTTGATTAACAGTTGTGAATTGAACTGTGCCCAGTCAAACATTGCATTTGTATTCAGACATGGTATCAAACTTCTACATATTTTTCACAACAGCTTCATAGTATCAGTGTATGAATCTTCATTACAAATTTGTAAGTTCATTATTTGATAATAACATCAGCAGTCCCACCCATTTTACTGACAGGGGGCGTTAATGTTCCCTCCATCCCATTTCATATATCCAAAATGCCTTTGTTTGTACCTCACTATATTACTTTGCATTCATAAATTAACTGATTTGCTTTCATTAATTACAAGGGTGCTATCGCAGGTCAAAGGCAAATATAACAATTACCTTAATTACTGTCTGATCATAAAGAAGTGGTAAAAGCTCCGGAAGAAGACTTTTGATGAGGTTTGGCTTGTTGTGGCCAGCTATACTTAAAGCCAAAACAGCTGCTCGCCTAACATGCTGCCCAAGTATATCAGAATTCAATGATCAATGCTAAGAAGGATATAATATAATAATTATTCATCAATGTTAGACCAAAAATACAAGTATTTTCATTTAAAACTCTAAAATCCTTGGAGCATTGTCTTGTTAAACTCACCCGATCCTGATCCTTGATAAGCATAAGAAACGAGGAAATCTCCGGGTACAGGACTGAATCGATCTTCTCTGGTCGTTCAACTATAGAATACTTCACAGCAACAACAACTGTTGCTCTGGTGAATGCAGCAGGACTAGTTGTTCGCTCCTACAGGAGCATATACATTTGATCATGAACTTCAACACAAATACATGAAAAGTAGCATTGCGTCTAGCTTAACCAACAAAACATTATAGTTAGTTGATAACATACCTTGAGAGCAGGAACAAGTTTTGAAGGCTTAATCAGAGCAATCTTTCCCAGACACTCTGCTACCACATTTCGGACACCCTCTTCCTCACTTTCGCAGTGGTTGAATAGCAAGTTGAGTATCTTTTCAACACTAGAATCTTGAAATTCTGCTTTATCAACAGATTGTCTCACAATAACCTATAAAGTAAATTTTTTAGTTAAAGTTATGGTTTACATAATCCCTATTTTGTTTCAAAGTAGTTATTTTTGCTAGTGTACGGGTTTGTCAATCTGAATTGGAATTTTTAAATAAATCTAGACTAGCAGATACCTCTTTCAAAGAATGGAGCAACAGATACTGCTTTTTCTGCTGGTTATCGATCTGGTTCAAGATAAATGGCAAGTACTTGGGAAGATTTCCAACAGCAATATTGCCAAGTGCATAAGAGGCCGCTGATTTTATCTCTTCAAAGGGAGATTGAAAGGATTCAATAACTATGTTCTCTATGTGTGCATGAGAGCTCAAATCTTTTCTTCTACCAATTTCACCCAAACATAGCAAGGCAAGGTGTTGTTTGGCCTACAAAAAGAATAAAAAGTCTTGAGAAATGGCATTGCCAGAAAAAATGCAAAATGCAAAAGCTAGAGAAGTCCATAAACCTGCCAAGTAGGATTGTCAGAAAGATATAAAAATGCAAAATCTGTATAGAAGAAAATTTCTGATCACATTTTGGATTGCCAGATCTGATAAATTCTCGTATAAATTAAAAGATGAAATCTTTTGCCTTAGCCAAGAAAATGACAAAAAGGAATCATCCTCTAAACTAGTAAAAAAGTGCATGAAACAATTTGGTACTTTCCATTTTTGAGTGCTTTTTTTATTTAATCCACTATTTGTAGTTCTATTATTTTATATATTGGATTGTAAACAATATATTGACAGCGAGCCTAATTATATACAGATGAGTCTGTTATGTATTTGGATTTGGATGGAAAGTTCTCAAACCAACAACTAAAAGACCTGATTCCCTCCTATCCAATCAAATAGATCACAGAGTGCTAGAAGAAAGATATTAAGGGGTTAAATATTCATACACCGTAAAGACCTATAAATGTGGTGCATGACTTTCCGTTCATTATTGTATATATGTTCATCTTAAATAATGTATATAGGTGAAACATGACATGAGTCATTTCTTTTAACATAAATTGCATAAAGAGATTGGCACAAATGAATTTAAAACAAGAAAGTGATGCAAGAACATCTTAACAACCAGAAAATTATTCACAAATGTGACTTTGAGCAAGGATGATGATAGGTTCTTGCTTCTGACAACTAACATCCTGAAAAGAATATGACACCACAAATAACTGTAACCCTCATAGCATCAAATTGATAGGGTCATGTAGAAACAAGGTTCAAGTCTCCTGGTCTGTTAGGATGCCTCAGCTGCAATGGCAAGCCTTTCCTCGTTTGAATCTCACTCATAATTTTAAGGCTATGCCATCCAATCATGATCTTATAATAAGAACAAGAGATCTTTCTCGACCAATCCCCATTAGCTGTCCGCTGTCAGGTTGGACAGTAAAGGGTCGAAGAGGGGCAATCATAGATGTTTTCAGCAGTTATCCGCTCCGCAGTTGGCTACCTAGAGTTTACCATGGACACGATAATTGGTAGCAAAATCTCATATCCAGCGACGGTTCCATCAGATATCTTACAACTAGGATCCCTCTTTTTTCTCAATCCAGTTCCTCCGCCACTTTTCCCCTCCCAAGGGCAGGTTCTTACGAGTTACTCACCCTTCCGCATGAACACTGGCAGCATAAGAGTACTCCTGTAAACATATCCCGTGGAGACGGAGTGAGGCATGTAGATCCGAGGATTAGAGCATGTGGCTACGAAACACAAGTGAGCCTCCTATTAGGCCTACGCATATTTGGACAACAAACAACCATGCCATCCATACGCTTGTACCTAAGCCGAATGCACATATTTCAAGCATAATGAAATATGTTCAATGTGTTACACCATATCTAAGATCATCATCTTGTTTTTTTCTGTAAGTAATGCCACCTGCTTCAATCTAATCAAAATAATTGAAATGCCACTCCACATTCAGAACCCCTTACGAAATAAAATTCCAATTAAGTGTATGATGACAGAATGTCATAAAAGTACCATTCACAATTACATGAATCCATAATCTACAAAAAAAATTGTAGACATACTTGAATTGTGAATGGACGTGTAAACATAAGCAAAGAGAAGTATAGTTTTATTAGCCATCAACACAACCATAATGTCCTAGCACAGATTTCAGATAAAATATAAAATAGTGACTCTAGATGGCAGAGTTGTATATAGTTTGCAACAGAGTATAAAGAATGCCAAGTATAAGTTCTAAAAAGTGCACAGTAATCACCCCCAGGAAACAAAGAGGAGCTCAATAATCTGGGCGTATAAAATATCATAGAACCTCCTCTTCTACTGATCAGCTCAAA